TTGTGTTATGTATGGAGAGGCTCTCTAACTTGATTCTTGACAGAGTTAATTGTGGCCAGTGGAGGGGTATCAAAGCTTCTTTAAGAGGCCCTGCAATCTCTCACTTATTTTTCGCTGATGATCTATTATTATTTGCGAAAGCAGACACTAAAAATTGTGAGACTATTATGGAGGTTCTTAACTATTTTAGTAATCACTCTGGTTTGAAAGTGAACTTGGCTAAGTCTAAGTTATTTGTCTCCCCAAATGTGTGTAATTCTAGGGCTAGGAACTTGAGTGCTTTATGTGGTATCCCTATCACCCAAGATTTGGGAAAGTATCTTGGGATACCTATGCTTCATAAGAAAGTTAACAGAGCTCATTTTTCTTCTATTTTTTGATAAGCTTCAAGGGAAGCTATCGAGTTGGAAAGCTAATATGCTGACTTTGGCAGGTAAAGCCACCCTTATAAAATCTGTGACTGCTGCTCTACCTGCGTATACCTATGAAGCTACCTGTTAATGTGTGCAATGACTTGGACAGAGTTAACTGAAACTTTCTTTGGGGAGAGGTGGGTAATTCTAAAAAAATTCACTTGGTCAAGTGGAACACTGTGTGTAAAAGCATGAAAATGGGAGGTCTGGGTATTAAAAAGGCTAAGCATAACAACACTGCTTTACTTTCTAAGTTGGGTTGGAAGTTACTCAAAGGTGAGAACTGTCTGTGGACTGAAGTGATTAAGGCTAAATACCTCCAAGAGGGGTCTCTTCTTGACTATTCCAGTAAGAGAAGAGTTTCCCACATTTGGAAAGGTATCCTTAGTACAAGAGAGACTCTTGTGAAATGTAGTAAGTTGTCTGTTGGGGATGGAACTCAAATCTCCATCTAGTTTGATTGGTGGTGTGGAGAGAGTAATTTAGCATCACTCTTTCTACACATTCACCTCTCATTAATTCTAAAACTGTCAATCTTCTTTTAGATGAGGAAGGTGATTGGGATATCTTTAAGTTGAATTCTAAGCTTCCTAGGGGGCTGTTGATCTTGCTCTAAAAGTTCATTTTCCACGTTTTGTTACGTGTCCTGATACACCTCATTGGCATGGTTCTAGTTCTGGTGACTTTTCAACAGCTTCAGCTTATGAGATGGTGGCCATTCATGAGGCCGAAAATTGTAACTGGCTTTGGTTGTGGAAGTTAAAACTACCCCAAAAAATCAAGGGCTTTGTGTGAGTTGTCTTACATGGCAAGTTACTCTCGAACAGCCTAAGAATCAAGATAGGTCTTACTGACATTGTTGAGTGCAGTAGATGTGGTTGTCAATAGGAAGATATTGATCATATTTTCAGAGACTGCCCTAAAGCAGTCATTATATGGAGTAGTATGGGTTGTTTGGAGTGGTTGTCTAGGGATCGACATATCCCGTTGCCAACTTGGTTGGAATCAAATCTCAAAAACAAACCTTTTTCTATTTTAGATCCTACCCTTTTTGCTGTTATTCTTTGGCAAATTTGAAAAGACCGCAACAAAAAGTTTTTGATAATGTTGAACTCCATTGGTATCAAAGTATTTTACTTTCATGTAATTATGCTTTTGCGATCAAGGAAGCATTTAGATCTTCTGCTTTAAATCCTAGTCATTATGATGTGGTTATTAATTGGTGCCCTCCTTTTGTAGGTAAACTAAAGATGAACACTAATGGTAGTGTAAAAGGAGACCCAGGGAAAGGAGGCTTTGGTGGTCTTATTCGTGATGAAAGAGGCATCTAGCTAATTGGTTACTATGGAAAGCTTGATGTTTGTACAAGTTTAGAGGCGGAGCTTTGGGTTATTTACCGAGGCTTAACTATAGCCTTTGAGAAGGGATATAAAGATCTCACTATTGAAATGGATTCATTATCTGCATTTGAGTTATTGAAAGAAAGCTCCGTGGTCTCTTCTTCGCTTAGAAGCTTGGTGGAGGACTCCAAATTCCTTATGCAAAGGTGTGGTTATACCATTCAACATGTTTTGCGTGAAGGGAATAATAGTGCGGATGGTCTGGCAAAGTTGGGTGCCACTCAAGCTGAGCCTCTTGTAGTCATGGATGAGGCCCCTGTAGCAATTAGAGAGTTAGTGATAGCTGATATGGTTGGAAGGGGCTACCTTAGGCCTTGATCTGTGCTCCCCTTCTGCTGGTGTTTCTTTTTGCTTTTCTTTCTTTTGTTTTCTGTTTGCTCTTTCCGTTTCCGATGTACCAAAAAAAAAAAAAAAGGCTCAAGTAGATAAACGGAAATCATGTGATGTTTATGTCGTCCACGCAATTTCAATTAAAAAATGTTTCTATTTTTGTTAAATAAAAATAAATGTCAACTTCACGTGCATTGCATGTGTGTCTCCCTCCAAGTAGGGATGGTCATTCACCGGATCAAGTTCAGACTAAGCCAATATTATTTAATAAGAGATTTTATATTTATTCAAGCCTATTCAATTTAAACATCGGAGCTATCTAATTAATTCAAGTACGGTTTTAAATAAATTATAATTCTCAAGTTTGTCTATCGAACCATATACATAAGTTATAAAAATAAAATAAAAAATTAAACATCATAATACCTGTTAGTTTTTCATAAATAGACAAAGCCTATAAAGTAACTAACCATAAAAAATTTAATACTATAGTAATTAAAACATTACAAAAAAGATTTTAAACCAAACACACTAATAATTCCAAAAGTTCAAAATTTTTTAAACCAAAGTGTTAGTAATGCATCAAACTAAAAAAATATATCCATAATTTAAATTTCAAATTTCTTCAAACATTTTTTTGTGAATGTCTTCAGCAAAATAATGACCACTTGAATATCTTACAAATCACATGGCCAACAATAAAAAGGTATATATTTTCAATATATTATATTAATTATTTAAATTAAATTAAATTAAATATGTAGCAGGTCGGACCGGGCCGAGCCAGACCAAAAATATAATTTTCAAACTCAACTTATTAATCAATTGGATTGAAAATATCAATCCAGTCTAAACTTATGGATTAAATAATATTCCCAAATTCTAAAATATATTCTCAAACCCAACCCATTGATTTTTTCATTTTTTTATGAAAATAATTTTAAATTTTTTAGAAAAAAATTCTTAAACAGATTTTTAAAAATCAAACAAACAGATTGATTGAGCTGTTTTTAAAAAATAATTTTAGATTTAAAATTTTATTTTAGGATTTTTTTTTTTGGGTACATCGGAAAGTGGGAAACATATTTTCATGAAGTAGCATGAAATAAATAAATTCAAAATATTGAAGTGTAGATTGTACTTACTTCCAAGGTATATATTCGAGCATGGTTAAGGTGATCAACAACTGTAATTATTCAAGGCGTTCAAAAAAAAAAAAAAAAAAACTATAATTATTCAAGTCTCCACAAAATATATATATCTTATGGTGCGATAATCTAACTGTTAGTACAACTTCAACAGTGATTTATTAGAGTTGTTATTGTTATAAAATAATATAAAATTTATTTTTTTCATCACTAACGGTGAACTATCAGAACTGTTAAATTATACATTTGTTATATCTTATACCAAATTTGGCACAAGTATTTTCTATAATTAAAGTTGCCATCACAACAACATTGTCCAAAAATACTGTTCCTCTTTTTCCTATTCCCTCCCTCAATCAAAATTTTAGAATATTTAAGTATTTAACCAATAGAATTTTGCAAACCCAATCATTCGGGAGATTGTTTGGCTCGTCGCTCGGTTGATGTTGGTTCAATGTTGGTTAAGCTAAAAAATAACAATTTGACCATTGAAACAACATTGTTATCCTATAACTTTTTTACATTATTCATCACTAAATTATAACTTTAACTGTTGATTTTACTTATTTGCCGCTGTAGTTGCTAATTTCAGCATCACTACCAAAAAAATAACAAAATCACACCGTAAGAAGTCAAAAAAATAGAAGAAAAGAAAAGAAAATAGAAGCTTTGCCTTTATTAATACTCTTAATCCATGTTTATCATTTAAAAGTCCATTGATAACTATAATATTTCTAGATTTAGATACAGGCCCATTATCAGGAACATCAACAAAAGCATGGATATTGACTTCAATTTTTTTTCTTTTTTTTCTTTTTTTTAAGGGAAAATCATGTTATTTCAAATTTTATGCAAAATTTTGTTTAGCTGAGTAAATTCAAAAAAGAAATGCTACACATGTTTAGGGTTTAGGGCAGAACAATATATAGACACAAAGGTAGTACAATTTACATTAATAAATTGAAAATTCAATTATAAATGAGTTTAAGATAGACCTCACTGAAAAACTCAATACTCACTACTAACATAAACTTACCATACTTAAGATTTTGTATGAACGTAATTTCGTAATCTTAATTTAAGTGATTGTACCTTTTGACTTAAAAAAAAAAAGTTAGGCATTTTAAGTTTTGTAAAAAATATCGACTGCTCATAATAATACTAATTAAATTTAAAATCTCACTAACCAAACCTTTGGCAAAAATAAAACATAAAACAAAATCTTTGTCAAATCAGATTAACTATTTTTTTTCTTCTTGTTCTACTTATGTTTTCCACCTTTTATCATTTTAATTTTAAAATTTGGCAAGGGCACACGTGTATCAAATATATTAGTATATGTCTTTTATTTTTTCTTTTCATTTTTAAATTAAAAACACTCATAATGTTATCAAAACAAAACTTAATCTCGAATATTAATTTGTCTTTTATATTATTATATCAATAAAGCTTCGGACCTCCAGTAAAGTACTGGGAGTCGCGTGTGATTGGTAAAAAAAAAACTATTTTTTTTTCCGACTAATGAGAAACCGACACGTTACTGAGAATAGTTGGGGGTCACCCCACTGGGGTCGGAAGCATCACTCTTTATTATATATTACTTGGAGGCCTAGGACCCTGTTTGGCGTCACAACTTGCGTGTTTGTCACGTGGGAAAATATTTTCCCTATGATTTTCTCATCCCTTTTAAAGGCACGCTGTTGTTCTAATATATAACACTCACATTTCCACTTTCCCTCCCATCAAATTTTAATTCTCTTCCTCATTTTCTTCACTCTCATCTGTCATTCTTTATCAAGATTTTTTTCTTCATTTATGCCTTGTTTTTGTTCCTTTCCCACAAACCCATTTCGCACCACAAGTTCACCCACAAGACCAACTAGCCTAATCCTGACTTTTTCGATAATTCATTGACTCGATCATTGTTTTAATTGCTTGTCTCCATCTGGGTTTAGCCCAAAATTAATGTTAATCCATTTGTTTCTCTCTCTCCTCCATTGTATGATCAGAGTTTTTTCTTAGTTATCAAATCTCTTGTTCTCTCCGAACCAACGAAGAAACCCAAGAATTCTCTTGTTCAAGTGGGAATTGTATATTATTATAATTAGGGGTTATTTATAAGTGTGGTGTTTGGTGGTTTTCATTGGATTGTTTGATAAAGAGTGAAGTAGTTGAGATTTGATAAAGTCGTTAGTTTAATGGAGTTGAAAATGTTTAGTTCAGAGAGACTGTTTTCAAGACCATTTTTAAGTCAGAGGAACGTTCTTGTCAAGAGCTCTCCACGGTTGTGTTTTTGCACAGGTAAAGAGTTAATTAATTAGATACCCAAATTGGAATTTTAGTTGTTTTTTTGTGCTTTTCAAATCAGAATTCTCAGAATGGGAAAAGGTAAAAAAATGCCCATGTTGTTTCTTTTTCCTCTATAGATTCTCTGTAACCAATCATTCAGTTATTTGTGTTCACTGGGCCTGCCCTTATTGTATTCTTGAAATTGAAATGCAAATTTTGTTTTGGGTGTAAATTAGTGATGGATCTGAAATTGTTTTGGTGGGATTGATTGAGATTGAAATTGAAGGAATACAAAATTAATGGAAGCAAATGCACAATCCATTGCCAAGAACATTACCTTTCATTCCTCCTTTTGCTGATGAATACATCATAACTCTCTCTCTCTCATGCTTATGCTGTGTTTGGATCTTGTGAAGTCGTTTGCAAAGGGAAAAGAAAATAAAAGAGATTTGTGAAGAAAAAAAGAAATTAGCTTCTATTTCATTCCTTTTATTTTTTCTCCATTCATGTCTTCACAAAATCAAGATCCAAACAGTGCCTAAGGAATTCAGGATCCATCTATTAAATGTTCAATTCCAAAGTGAGTGATTTGCTTCTCATTTTTTCCTGGTTTTTATGTTCAGGCATTTCTCCTAAGGTATCTTATCTGAGTACTTCAAATAAAGCCATTATTAGCTCAGTTGGCCAAGAAAATTTTGCTGTAGAGACTTTTCAGTATCACATCAATGGAACAAGTGGTGCCAATTCAAGTCTGTTTTTCAGAGAAATGGGAGTACTTGATGCATTTGATGATGAATATGGAGGAGTTATAGTTAATCCGGAAAGATTACCGCCTCACCCAAAAGTCTTTGCCTCTAGACTTCATTTGTCACTTTCTCACTGGAAAACGAAGGTAATTTATCTTCATGTGTTTTGAATTTCCGGCTGTTCGTAGGCATAATGTAATTGCATCGTCTATGCGAGGTGGCTGAAAATTATTTGTTTCAATCATAAGTGTCAACAGCAGGACTTCTAGTGTTTGAACTTGTAGGATTACTCTGCTCACAAAATAAGGCGCTCAATACCATGATATTTTAATAAACACTTGGATAAATAAATGTAAAAATTTCAGTTGTTTTCCTTGATAAGAAATTCAGTGATTTTGGATGATTTCTGTATGATTCTGTAGTCACTTGTATAAACCCAAAATTTATAACCCTATTTCACGTGGTTCTGAAAAATTGTTTCCAAAAAACTAATTTCAAAATTTCCAAATCTAATTTCACACAAAAATGAAAAGTTCAAAAAGTATTTTCATTTTTTTTTTCTTTCTGAAAACACAAAAAATAAAAATGAAGACAACAAAAATATAACCAAACAAGGTTATAGAATGATAAAAATTTTGTTTTGTGTTCTGGTTGTGGTCTTTCTGCTGATTATTTCCTTTATGGAGCCTTTGGACTTAAAATAAAATAAAAAATTCTCAGAATGGGATACAATCGATTTTCATTTATATATCTAGTACATCCAAAGTATTTACTATCTTTTGTCTTAAAATTGCAGGGGAAGAAAGGAGTTTGGCTTAAGTTGCCACTGGAAAGATCTGAGCTTGTTCCTTTAGCAGTAGACGTAAACACTTTTCTTGTTGAACTAGAAGTATAAGAAACTTATTTGAACCTCATAGATTTTAACCATATAAATGAAATTTATCTAAAGAATTTGTTGCCATTGGATGCCGACTCTTCCACACTTTGATTTATAATTGACGAATCAATGCAATCTCTAAAATTTGATATTTAATTATAGGAAGGATTCAAGTATCACCATGCTGAAAGAGGATATGTGATGCTGACATACTGGATTCCTGAAGGACTTTCCATGCTTCCCGCTAATGCTTCTCATCAAGTGGGAGTTGGGGGATTTGTGATCAATGACAAATATGAGGTATGCTTGCTTGTCTCAGTAACCAAGTTTATAAAAGCACTTTTATAGTTTTGGCCAGCTAAATATTCTTTTTTAAACTACTTGATTTAGTTTGAATTCATGAAAAACTCACATTATTGTACTTGAATGGTTTATAGCACTATAAATAGAATTGCTCAATGAACTATTGTAAAACTCTTTGCTGTTAATTTTATTGTTTTGATATCCTATGTGTTTCTTGAATGCTACCAAGAGTGCTGTTTTCTGTAATTTTACTTCATTCATATCGTGTTTGCTAAAGTCTTTGGCGGAATTATTCTTGTCATATTTTCTAATAAAACATAGGTGCTTAAAGGAACAACTTTGATCAATTTGTTTGCGTCAATATGATGATAACGTCTGTTATGTGTCCCAATTCTAACCTTCTATCTTAAATTTGCTTTGATGCTGGAAAATTCTATCATTCTAATACAATGATTTCTTACAATTATCTACAGGTGCTTGTAGTACAAGAGAAGCATTGTTCTCTAGCACTTGCTGGCCTTTGGAAAATACCAACTGGTTTCATTCTTGAGGTGTGTTTTCCCATTTGAAATTTCAACCTCGATGTTTTTGGATGCATATAATGTAAATAGAGATTATTAAAGCTTGAAAATTATCGCTTATTTATTTTTTTTGAACTGTTATAGTCAGAGGAGATATTTACTGGAGCTGTAAGAGAGGTCAAGGAGGAAACGGGCGTAAGGACTTTAAACCTAATATATTTCTTCTCTTACCTATTTACTTCTGAAATCATAATTCAGTTTTTGCATCGAACAATCTAGAATGCGAATAAAACTTTTCAATGAATGTTAACCGCTTTTTATTTTTTTTATTGCAGATTGATACCGAATTTGTGGAAGTCATAGCTTTCAGGTAACAACGATATGGTTTTTTTTTTTTTTTGCAATTAAATTAAAACATGGCCAAACAATGTCCTCTTCAACCGAATCAAACCATAGTCACCCCATGTCTACTCACCTGAAAAATATATGATTTGGACCAACTATTGGGCGTTATTTGATTTGAAAATTACCCGACTTTGCCTTAGCTAGCATGACATACATAATTGAAGTGAATGTTGACAAAGGTTTAAAAATTATCGGGAAAAATAATATTGATGTCCTATTCAATCCATATGCAGTGTGTTTGTAATGGTTGCTATTTTGAATGACACTGAAAGTGATTTTTTCTTTAAACATCATCTCATAGATCACATCCTCTCTGTGAACTTCGATTCCAGGCATGCTCACAATGTTGCTTTTGAAAAGTCGGATTTGTTCTTCATCTGCATGTTGAGACCCCTATCGGCTCAGATTATTATTGATGACCTTGAAGTTCAAGCCGCAAAGGTAAATACTAAATACCTTACCTAACAGGATAATGGAGTAGGCAATTTATGTCTCTGTCTACTCTGTACCCCACTTTTCATCTGTAACAACTCATTATCTAGGGCTTGATTGCTTTACAACACATCCATTTTTCTTGATTTTAATTTGGGTATTTTCATTTCATCAAGCAGTGGATGCCTCTAGTTGAGTTTGTCGAGCAGCCGCTGATCAAAGGGGACTGCATGTTCAAGAAAGTCACTGACATTTGCATTGCACGTCTAGGGAAGCATTACTGCGGATTATCTTCTCATCAACTGGTTTCCAAATTTGATGGCAGACTATCCTCCTTGTACTATAATGTAGTTGAGGACGGAAATTTCAACTGTCAAATCAGTTAAAATTATTACACGGTATTGGGTAGACTGAACCTCATAAGTTAGCTATTGAGGTGAGGCTCTCCTCATGTTTATATATTGTACATTACTTTTTGTACTTTTTTTGATTTCTTACTTTTTGTACATAGATGATGTGGAATTTCACTTCGCATCTTCATTCACGCACAGTGTGCTCTTCGGTACAAAAATAATGTGCAATATATAAGCGGGAGAGCATTCTTACCTCAATAACTAGTTTTTGGGGTTAGTCTTACCAAAGACGGTGTAATATGATATCAAAGCTGGAGCACCCAAGGATGGATAGGGAATGTGTCCCTTTCATGCAGCAGGTGCTGCCCAGTGAGGATACTGCACGTAAAGTAGGGTGTGAAGTGAAATCTTACATAATGTGCAGATATAAATGTGAGAGGATCCTCACTTCAATAGTTAACTTTTGAAGTCGAATTGAGGGGATATAGAAACAACTCACTCAAGAAGTAACACTCACTTGATCACATATTACAACAGATCATTACTTGTAAGTTGTAACTGCAAATGTCTGTTTTCTTGTACATTCTTGTAAATACAGAATGCAGCTATTGTATATTCTTATGTTCACATTTTCTTTTTTTAACTATTATATTCACGTTTAATGTTCTTTGGATTATTCCCTTTTCCTTTTTTCTTTTTCTTTTTCTTTTGTCGCATTTGATATGACAAAAGATACAGAGAAGGGCTATTAATATTTGGTTGCAAAATTGAATTGGACCATTGCATTTTGCTGTTCTGGAATCCCAGTAACCATTGAAACGCTAAAATTTTGAATTTATTGATGGAAAACAAAATGAAAGAGAAATGAAATTACTAGGTATTGGGATTGAAATGGATTCTTTTTTTTCTTCCACTTTCCTATTCCTTTTAATTCTAGGAACCAAACAAAATATTATTGAACAATAAGTTATGGGATGAATGGACTAATCCAAATGCTAAAATATGCAACAACCACCTATTAGTAGCCTAATTCTTGGCCTTTGGAAAAAACTAATGCCATGATTGGCAATAAGGAATTCATAGCCTTGGTGAATTTTGAGGGTTATTTCAAGGGAGATTTGGCCACAACTCCCTCAAACCTTTCGTTTTTTGTCAAAAGGACAACCAAAAAAAAAAATAAATTCAATACTTGCAAAACTCCCTCGCAGCTCCATTTTTTTGTTAAAAGGACAATTTTACTTTGATTCATAGTAAAATTTTACTCTAAATCAAAGTAAATTTTTATTTTGAATCAAAGTAAATTTTGCAATTTCCCCTGTGAACAAATAAAAAAAGGGAACGAACAAAAAACAGAGGTTTACAGGGAAACGAGTGAACGAATGAGAGAAATAGAGAGAGAGAGAGACAGAGAGAGAGGGAGATGGATCGAAGGAGAGAGAGAAACAAAGTCAAAAAGAGAGAGAGAGAGAACAAACTATCGATTTTCAAATCTAAGGTAGGGATGACAATGGATAACCTACCCTGTGGGTATCCATAGAGACCCAACCCAAATACATGGGTTTTCCCCTTTTTTCTTATCCATTAGGTAGGGTAGGCGATATTCTTTGAATATCCACAGGGGATGGGTTGGGGATGGATACCCACTAATTTCCCCACATGTTTTTTTTTTTTAGATTCACAACCAAAACTAAATATACATTCAATCTTTTTCTTTTATTTATTTATTTATTTTTTTCAGGTTCACAACCAACTTCTTCTTTTTTTTTTCTTTTTTTTTTTTTAAATCCACAACCAAAGCTAAATATACCTCAAATCTTTTTTTTTTATGTTATTTTATTTTGTTATGTATTGTAATTTTTAGAATGGTTTGCTTGTTCTAAAATTTCAATTAACGAGTATGAATCTATTTGTTTTATGTTATCACACAATTTATACAACATAAAATCTATATTTAAATTATATAAGAATAAGTTCAGCTCGTATATTACCAAAAAAAAAAATAAGTTCAAATCTAGTTAATAAGAATAAGTTATTCTGAATCTATTCTTATTCAGCTCGTATATTTTTATAGGAATAAGTTATTCTGAAATCAAAGATAATATGAATCTATTTGTTTTATTTTTATTTTTTTAACTTATTCTGAACTTATTCTTATACGAGCAAAGATAATATGAATCTATTCTTACTTATTCTGAACTTATTCTTATACGAGCAAAGATAATATGAATCTATTCTTATTGCTCGTATATTAAGCTAAATAAGTTATTCCTATTTGTTTTATTTTTATTTTTTTAACTTATTCTGAACTTATTCTTATTCAGCTCGTATATTATCTTTGAATCTATTTGCTTTTGTTGTGAATCTTACCAAAAAAAAAAATTGTTAACATTAAATATATTTAAAAAGAAAGAAAAAAGATTGAAGGTACATTTAACTTTTGTTGTGAACCTTAAAAAAAAAAAAAAGGTTGTTAACATTAAATATATTTAAAGAAGGTACATTTAGTTTTTGTTGAGAACCTTAAAAAAAATAAAATAAAAAAAAAGTTGTTAACATTAAATATAAAAAATAAAAATAAAATAAAAATGGGGATTAAAGTGGGTTGGGGAAAATCCAAACCTATTAGGAAATGGGGAGGGTGGTACCCATGGGGAATGGGGAATGGAGAATGGGGAAAATTTATTATAGGGGAATGGGGATGGGGAATTAATATTCACCCCATTAATCCCCATTGCCATCCCTAATCTAAGGTAACAAATCTCATATTTGAGATCATCAATTTCATATGAGATAGTGGAAACAAACAGTAACTATGAGAATGATAAGAAGGATATTTTAAAATACTAAGGACTTTTGAAAATACTTATATAATTCTTATCATTTTGACAAGATAAGTGTCTCATGAGGGATTTACGGCCAAATTTCTCTTATTTTTTCAATTAAAACAAAAGGACTGGATCAATTTCGGGGCAACATCATTTTGCCCCATCCCAAGCTCGGACGATCATGGACTACTTCATATATGAATAGTTATTTTATTCCTATATTATGTTTGTCACATTACGGCCTTGTTTGTTTGGATGGACATAATTTTAGAATTAGATTAATAATTTACAAAATACATAATCTCATGAGGTTTAGACTAATAGTTCATCATATGAGAGGCTATTAAATCTCAAGAAGGGGGTGAGATACAAAATGAGAGACTAAAGAGTGGTTCAGACTAATTGGCTAGATTACTAAATAGATAGTATTTTAGTTTCTCTTCATAATCTTAGGTCAATTCAAACATAGAATATGATATACAATAAATAAATTTTAAAAAAAAATTGATTATCTCAAAATTAGCAGTTCTAAGTTTGATAATCTCTTCTAATCTACTCCGTTCGAACAAACATGGTCTACATTTATAGTCAGACTTCCTTCAAAATCAGATAGGAGGCCTTTGAAATGAAATTGTTCATTGATTTGAAGTCGCATTTGGGAGATCCTATTTTGTGCCCTTTATTAGGGTTACATATAGGGGGTGTTTGGTAGGGCTTTTTTGAGCCAACTTATGACTTCTGGCTTTTAAAAAGTTTTTTTAGACTATTTGGTTAAACTTATTTCAAACAACTTCTGATTCTAACAACTTATTTTAAGTCAAAAAAATTGATTCCGAGAAACTGCTCACCCCTTACTTCTGATTATCAGCTTCTGTTGTGGACATGTTAATTCACGGTTATACTCTTAATTTTTTTATTTTTTATTTTTTTAAAAATAGAAAAAGACTCAAATGGACTATAAAATATTATTATTATTTTTTATGAGAAATGTAGACAAATAGTGAATAATAAAAAATAAAAATTAATTGAAAAAGTTACTTTACAGCTTATTTAACAAACACTACTCAGCAACTTAAATCTATAATCCAACAATTATACCAAACAGATTAACAGTTTCTAATTAAAGTCATAATTTATAATCTGTTAAGCTACAATCTATAATCTGTTTTAACAGTTACACCAAACAGCACCATAGTATGCTTTTTCACCACAAAAACTATTATTATCACCTTAGACCATCTCCAACGCTTCATCAAATCTGGCATCAAATTTGAAATTTGGTGAAAAAGTAACTTTTTGGTGCTCCAACGGTTTCACCAAATCAATATCAAATCGAGAATTCACCAAATCTTTCACCAAAATGAGAACACGCTCCAGGTTTCACCAAATCACTGTTTGTTACCTTTAGGGGAGACAAACCGGTTGACCGGTCGGTTGACCAACCGGTCGACCATAAAACGGTCAAACAGTTCAAATAAATAGGTTCAAACAGTTTTTAAAAAAAAAATTTTGCCTTACCGGTCGACCAATCGGTTGTCTCGAAAAAAGTTTAGACAGTTCAAAAACAAGGTTCAAACAATCCAAAAAAAAAAAAAAAAAAAAATTTGCCTTCACCGGTCGACCAACCGGTTGTCCCAGCGCAAATTTGATGAAAATGAACCATTGGAGCACTCGGTATCAGATTGAGAAAAAAGTCATTTTTTTACTCAGATTTGATAAAAAATTTGGTGAACCGTTGGAAATGCTCTTAGAGAACACACTATAAAAGTTCATCATTCTCAAATTAAAAAAAAAATAATAAAAAAAATAGCATAAAACAACAAATATTTGTAATTTTTATTAGAAAATCACTATGTTTGATTCCATTTTTCTAAAAACAATTTTCAGAAAATTTTACTTTCTTATTTTTCGTGTTTTTTTATTTTTACTGAATTTTTAAAATATTTTATGCAAATTTTTTATTTTTTAGACACATCTAACATAAATACACCTAAAAAGTAAAAAAAATGTAAAAAAAATCTTTTAAAAATTCACTAATTACCATAAATACAAAAAAAATATAAGAATTCAGTACATTTTTTGTATTTTTATGTATTTCTTAATTTTTTAAAATATTTTTTCATATTTTTTTTTACTTTTTAGATACATCTAAGTAAGGTACATCTAAAAAGTAAAAAAAGTGTTTAAATTTTAAAAATATTCACTAAAAACAAAAATTACGAAAATTAAAAAATTCAATTCTCAAAAAACTTAATTCAGAAAACTCAAATCAAATACACTGATTGTTTTTTTGCTATATAAAGCATTTTCAAGAGATAGGGGAAAATTTTGCACAAATGTAACGAAGTAACTTTTGGTGAGAGAATAAGCAGATTCCGAAAAACAAGGCATCGTGAGCAGCCTAATAGAGAGAATACCAACCTGTGAGGCTGAGAATTTGAAAATTAAATATGTGGGAAATTCAAAATACGAGAATCTTAAATAATAATATCATGATTGTGACTATTTTGAAACCCAATGATTGAGAATTTAGGGATAAAATATCCGGTGCCCTCCATTGGAAGGTTTGTTGTGGCATACAATTAACCACACTACATTAAAAAAATCCCTTGAAATAATAAATTAAGGTGGCTTAGCCTCTGATCAGTTTTTTTTTTCACTTGCATATAAACTAATCACATACTTTTACATGAATGTGAGACTAACTAAAATGTGAGAGTAATCATGGAGTGTGTTTGTTGGACAAATAGGATAAGAAGATATTGTAATCTATCAGGGCCGGCCCTGAGATTTGTGGGGCTTAAGGCGCCCTGTGAAAATGGGGCCCTTCGAATATT